GGCCTCTGGGTGGCGATGATGTAGTCTGGCCTCCCATTCTTGTAAACGAGCCTGGCGTTGGCCTGGACCCACTTCCAGCGGTTGTCCTTGGTGAGCAGCCTGAAGACGGTGAGGCCGCTCTCGCCCGTCTTTATCACTGGAATCACATACGACAACATTGGCTCCGTGTCACTGCTGTTTACCCTCTGTGCGCCCCGCAGTGTGCACACACTCACGCTGCATTTACTCAGCCGGGCATGCTGCTGTGACGGAGGCTACATGTTACAAGTCCTGTGTGCACACACTTCACATCACATCCCTCAGCTCCACAGCTCAGTGGTGTGTCTGTCTGTGTGGAACTGGGCACGAGTACAGACTCACGTTAGAGCAATTAGTGCCAAATGTCTGTACGTGAGAGCATAAGGGTGAAAGAGTTCGGTAGAGTTTAGAGAGAGAGAGAGAGAGAGAGAGCGGCTGCAGATCGTTTGAGTCACAGTGAGTCAGCACACAACGTAAAGAGGGGAACACGTGTAACCTGAGGAAACACCTGGTTGGGTTTGCTCTCCTAATTCAAGTACGCTGATCAACTTGACAGGATTATTATGTAACGTGAGATTTTTCAGTTTCAGAAACCCTAGTATGAAACTTTAAATATAGAATATTATAATATAATATGTTTTTATTGTCAAATGAAAAAGTAAGAAACAACAATAGGTGCACAGATTTGAGTCGTTGTTAGTCTGACCTACAGTCTACGTCCTCACAGTTTCACAGTTGGTGCTGCATATTTTTAGCAGTAAAAGCTCTGAGCTGCTGACCTTCACAAGGAACTGCAATATTTATGTCTGTGGACAAACTCTCCCCCTTGTCCTGAAGAAGCAGGGTCATGGTTAGAAAGTTAGGAACTGTATAGCTCACAGATTGTTCATTCTCCCTGAATGGTCCAACTGTAACAAGGATTAGAATTATTATTATTATCTGAAGGATTACTCCAACTGGGCCAAAATACTGAGTAATGTTACTTACATAAAAGGAAAAACAGTAAATTTACTCCTTCGTAACCACGGAGACTTCAGACCTTACTGATGTGTGTGCAACCTCTGGTCTTAATAATAATAATGATGATTCCAAACATTACGTCCCTGATCATAATGTTCAACAGTAAACTCTTTAAAATGATGTTATAATTATGTGGATTCAGTTTGTGTTTGTCTACCTGACTTCCCATCTGTGTGTGCATTAATGTGTAATGAACATGTATCTCTCTGTTTCCAAATGCATATGCATGTATTTCTGCTTCTATATGCATCACTACATCCAGTATGTGCCGTTGTGTGTGTGTGTGTGTCTGGTAGCAGTGCCATGAGGGCGCCATGGTTACGACTAACCGGGTCATCCGGTACACGAGCTAAGTAGGACACTTGACTCTCGCCCGGAGATTTCCTCAGTCAGTAGCAGACACACTCACCGTGTTGGTTTGCTTGTTTGTGTTTGTGTTACAAATGTAATGTTGAGCCCAACATGAGACCGGTCAGTACACTTTCATTGTGAACACACTGATCCTCGCTGGGTGCAGAGCAGCTGAAGCTTCGCTGCCTTGGCGGGGGTTGTGTTACCTTCTCCGCCCATATTTTCATCCCGGTCCTTCCTGTGGTTTGCACCAGTACCCTTCCTGTCTCTGTCGTGCTCCACTGACTCTGAAGTCACCTGTAAGCCGAGCAGACTACCAGCAGCTGTCACTTACTTCGGACGTGGTTTTCGGCGCAGTACAGCATGTCGGCAGCGTGGATGAACTGGTAACCAGAACCTCGAACTCTCAGCTCGGCCTCGGTGTAACCCAGAACAATTTTACCCCTGAAAATCCAGCAGATGCACACAACAATTACAAACTGAACTAAACAAACAAATAAACAACGCTTTGTGCGAACAGGACGTACTTTGCGTCACACGCCATGGGTGTGAAGTCCAGTTTGTGTTTGGTCCTGAAGATCATGTTCCTCGTCCTGATTTCCAGGATGGCGGGAGGCTGGAGCGGTGTGGCGATGGCAAACAGGGCGAGCTGAGGCGGGGGACTCGTCTCGCCGTCGCACTGCTTCTGGCTCTGACCGTGGAGGAACTTGAGTCGACCCTGGATGTTGAGCGCCTGAGAGGAAAGCACATGCAGATTTCATGACAACAGATCACGAAGAGGTTGATGTTTCCTTTCCCTCCTTCTGATTCTTCCTCCTTTCCCTCCGCAGCAGACGGGTGAGTGCTGTTTCTTCTCTCCCTGTCGAGAACCATTAGTCTTATTTATCCTGCTGGGTAGCGTCGACAGGAATACCACTTCAGCACACTGTAAACACACTGGGTACACTGGTGTCTCTCACTGGAAACCCTCCAGCTACGCTCCCTCTGGTCACATTAAAAGCATTTAATGTTTGATGGACCTGTTGTGGGCTTTCTGTGCTTTCTACAGGTTAGAATCACTGATGAGGAATATCCAGCCAGCCAAACCTTTCTTCTCTGATCCAACAGTTGAACTTTATTGAGGAGGAAGATTGTTGCCTAAGCAGTCACCAACTCTGCAACAAACGCCGTCTTTAAGCCGTAATATCTGTAATATCTGACAGGCAGACGTTAGAAGAGGCCAAACATCTGGAGCACTTTGTATTTCTTGTTTTCTGGGATTGTTTGGAGCCAGAAACTAATTACATGTAGACACTTAGCCTCAACATCGGCCTGTTTTCACTTCATTACACCATCCTTCTCATCTGTCTGACAGTGAAAAACACTTTGTTCACAAAGACTGAGTGAACTGTTGGATCAACAGCCATCAGGGAAGTGTTGCAACAACCTGAAAACACTTTCTCCTGCCTGCTCCTCTCACCCTGTGGCCTCTCGTGTGAGGACCCCCACCTCCTCCTCGGTTAGCTGTGGTTAATTGACCTTGGTGGGTTTAAGGGCCTGCAGCCGTGATGTCAGGAATCTAGCCCTGAATAGCAGGAGGGATTAAAAAAACAAAGCCATAGCGACCGGTAGACGGAAGCAGAGACCTGGCTTACTGCTCACGCAAACGCACTGGGATGGAGGACAGAGAGACGCAGGTTCGATCCCTTCACGAGAAGAAACAACACAAAAACATAACGAACCTTCTTTTACTGATGAAGAGGTGAGTCCCTGTACATGATTATTATTATTATTATGAATCAGTCTGTCTGTGATTAATTGTTTAGCCTGTTAAATGTCAGGACGACTGGTGCCTTGCTCATGGGCCACCCTGCCCCTGTTTTCCCAGCAGGTTTTAGGGATTTGCTCTGCCACTGAACCATCTGCAGCTAATGGTCAGTGGCCGGTCTGACTAAGCAAGTTCTCCCTCTGCTCTCGTCTCCTCTGGGCGGTGGGAGGATTAAGGCCCTTTTCCCCACGACCCCGAGGCTCTCTTAAGGCGGATTACAGGAGTGAATGGTAGCTTCTGATCCTTGAGGGACTCTGAGGTGGCACGCCATACTGCCAGCAGCAACAACAGGCCTGGAAACACCACAAACCTCAAATATAGATTCAGTTACCACTTTATTCTGGAATCAATAACTACCATTATAGTAAAAACCTGCTAATCTAAGTTGTGTTTCTCTTTCTTCCTATAAACTGTGTGTGTCTTTTGATCGGGCTGCTGCATTAAACCCAATGGAAATTTACCAGGAAGCCGGAGGAGTTGTCCAACAAACAGCGGAAGCGGCAGACGAAGCCTCTCTCCAGGAAGGAGGAGTTTTCAGGCGGAAGCTGGTCGGGGTTGTAGCTCACCAGGCAGGAGGAGGTCGACACCGAGTCTCCGTCTGTCGACACCAAACATCAGTTTATTTGTATTTTATCAGGATTTGTACGCAGATGATGAGATTGTGGAAAAACGTCAGCTGCTAAAAACAAACCTGACCTTGATGTGTTGTTTGTGTGGATCTTGTCAACTGGGACCTAATGCAAAATGACAAGAGTGTGTGTGTGTGTGTGTGTGCTGGTGAAAGCTACTGTGTGGGTTTGTTTTAGCTGCTGGTGTGTTTGTGTGTTTGTGTGTGCGCACTGTGTTAGTAAAGGTGTGTGTGTGTGCTGTAACATTTAGACCTCATCTCAGGAGGCTTCAGGTAAAGGTCACCTCTCCTCCGACCTCAGTTCAGACTCAGAAGGGCAAAAAGAAGCAAGGCTTTTAATCCAGCAGGCTTCTCAACACCACCTATATGTTTATAGTGTGTTCTAGTGAAAGCACCAGTGACTTACAGAGCTTTGTGTGAGGCCACGCCCGTTGTTATGTTTGCTGTTTTAATTCCTCGTCTATTCTGCAAAGTGAAGCCTGAAGCTGACCTGTTGAGGGATCCGTGGGGGGTCCGAGGCCAGCAGGGGGGTTGAGGGCCCAGTGCAGGTTGCTCCTGAACTCCTGCTGGTCTTCGGTGTGGATCAGCTCAAACACACTCTGGTGCATCACGTCGGTCTGACAGGAAAACATAGTTTGAGTCTGAATCCATCTTCTTAAACACAGAGTGGGAACAGTGAACCTGTTTTAATCCTAAAACACAAGTTAATGCAGATATTCAGTTAAAGCGGTTACCCTGAGGGGTGCGTTTGATTTCGTTTGCCTTGAAGTGGTGCCAAAAGAAATCAAGTGTCACAAAACATTTGATTCAAATAGCTGAAACAAAGCCAGAGACCTGCTGCGACCCTGATATCTGTCGTCCAGACCCAGCATGACCTGGCTGAGGACCAGACTGGGACCACCTTCCCAGTGTCGGCGAGGTCAAACTCGGGTCACCAAAAAGGAATTCTGACAGGCAGAAGTGTTACGTGAAATGCTTTTTCTTTTGTTCTCGTTAAGTGTGTTTGGGATCGTAAGGCTCCCTTACATCTCTTCTCTCATTCAAAAGTTGTAACCTGAAGAACACGAAAACTATTTAACCTTCGATATGAACTCATTCTGACCGAACTGGTTTCAGCTTTTACATGGAAATACCTGAAAGCTGCCCTCAAGCTTGTTATCGTTCTCCTTTTATATATTTTAGAGCTTTACTGTCTAACAGCTTTTGTACGACACTTTCAGATGTGATTTATGACCTTATATGTGTTGTTTTTGTCTAATTCAACTCTTCTCTCTGGCGTCTTCCTCAGTTGTGTCTTGTTTTATGGGTGTCACAACAGCTGCGTAGTGTTGTTTCCAAACGCCACTTCACCGCAGATTTGGGTTTGTTCGGTAAATGAGCGGTGACGCGCCTAAGGTGGACGGGAGGGGGGGGTGGCAAGATGTGTGTTTGTGCACAGTATGGTGATGTAGACCGACAGACAGACAGACAGACTTTGTGTAATCTGATAGTCACATTGTTCAACATGGACTGCGGGCAGTGGCGCTTTGTTGTGAAGCCAACTGAATTAAACCTCTCGCTCCATATGTGCGTTTGTTTCAGTCCTCAGGGCACGATGCGTTTCACTCGCTGCTCTCTGGAAGCTCGCCACGAATCAACTGTGCTCATTAACTCCACCTTCCTGCCTCTCAACAGTCAGAATCAGTGAAATAATACACAAACGTTAGTAAAAGCGGGGTTGAGGAAGGCCACTTGGAGGAGGAGGTTTCACCTGATGGAAGCCGAGGTATTCCTGGATGGTGTGAGAGCAGAAGAAGATGGTTCCCTCAGCGGTCACCACCAGGACGAAGCCGTTCAGGGCCTGCAGGGAGACAACACATCGTTTCTTTATAATGATTATAACTGCAGGTTTAAGACACTGAGTGTAGAATTCATTATATATATATAGTTGTACATGTTTTAATCATTTAATCATGTCAGCGTGGGACAAACGGAGAGAACTAAAAGCCGAGGAGGAGCCTCCTCCCTCGGGGCAGAAAGAGAGGAAGACGGGGAGGAGAGGCTGGAGCCGAGCGGACGTCAGTTCGGAGAGAAGTCATGGCGAAGAGGAGGAGGAGGAGGAGGAGGAGAAAGAGGTCACTACTGGATGACTAACACCTCCATCGTCGCTCCTCCTCGTCTTCCTCGAGCCTCGGGGCTCAGCGAGGAGGTGATGACACTGAGTGCCGACGCTGCAAAGAGTCCCGACGGCATTCTGATGAAGAGGAGGATGAAGAGGACCCACTAATACTCTCCTCATCCTCACAGCTGGGCTCAGACGGTTTTCTGTCATTCACATGGCTGCTGTTGGGTCCAAACCTTTGGAAGCTCTGTGAGTCCATCACCTGGTGCTCCTCTCTGCT